TCTCCCCGGAATCGATCCTCCAGATCTACAAATCAACAATTCGCCCTTGTATGGACTATTGCTGCCATATATGGTCTGGAGCCCCTTCTGTTTGCCTCGGGGTTCTTGATAGACTCCAGAGGCAGATATGCAATATAATTGGCCCTGTTCTGGCATCTCGTCTACAGTCACTTTCTCACAGACGCGCCGTCGCCTCTCTCTGTCTGTTTTACAAATACTTTCATGGCAATTGCTCCGAGGAACTGCATTCGCTGGTTCCCAGACTTCATGAGTTCAAGCGCCCGACGAGGCTGGCATCTCGCTCTCACCCCTTCACTGTCAAAACTCCTAAATGTAGCCGTCTCTTCTCCTCCAATAGCTTAATGTCTCGCACCTCTCGCCTGTGGAACTCCCTTCCCTATTCCTGTTTCCCTGAGAGCTATAATCTCCAGCTATTCAAATGTAATGTCAATCGACATCTCCAGTTGTCTTGATCTATCCACTACCCTCATCCTTTCTTCTATCACTCCTATCTGATCTCGCTCTATATTTTCTGTAACCCCTTGCGTCCTAGTGGCTTCTCGCCTTGCTTGGGGTGAAATGCTTAAAAAAAAAGACGGTCTCCTTATTTAAGTTGGAGAATGCTGCCATAATCCTTGCCTTCAGTTCATCTTTGGTGTCACAAAGAGTTTTGTTGTTCTCTCGCTCAAATGCGTCTCACATATGATAATCAACTGGGTTGCAGTCTGGGGAGTTAGGTGGCCATATTTGAGGGGTGATGTGGTCGCAGAAATTGTTTGACAGCCATGATTGGGTTCTCCTGCTTGTGTAGCATGGTGCAGAGCCCTGTTGCTTGACGTAGGGTCTTCCAGCAGCCATACTCTTGACCCGGGGCAGCACTAACTCCTCAAGACATTTGATGCAGGCCCCCGTGTCGAGTCCGAAGCATGGTGGGAAGATAGATGGAGCCATAACGTCGCCATCACTAGTGATCACTCCAAAAACCTTCGTAATCACCATTAGACTCATCCAACTCTTTTCGAATCCTCTGCACTTGACACCCCAACATTCTGAAATCTTCGTATTGGAGCTTTCGGTGCGAATGCCAAAGAGTACAACGCGTCTCTGGAGGGGTGAATTGCGTCATGCTGCTCGTTTTCTTACTGATGCTGCCAATTTGACCCTACGATACTGTGCAGCCGATAAAATTTAAAAGCAGACAACGCGCATGCGCGAAAGCAAAAATATAAAATCGCGATAATTTATCCATCGCACCCTATATATATATATATATATATATATATATACACGAACACACACACACACACACACACATATATATATATATATATATATATATATATATATATATATATATATATGAATATTTTCATATTTTTTTATTTATATATAATGGTATTGCTATCAGATAACCATTTCAAGGAACCGAGACCTCTTGAAAAACATCTCATTTTCTAGTAAGACGTGGAACGAGAAAGCAAAAAAAAAATACGAAATCAATTAGAAATCCAATCATTTTTTCTTGATTGGCAAACGTCTACAAGTATAAACTTTTCAATCTCGAATCGATAAAAGGAATCTCTTCAAACAGTCCAAGATTAAAAAGAAATCAATCAATAATCAAATAAACTATAAGAAAATTTGCCGGAAAATATTTTTCTATATTTGGTTATTAAAAAGTCAAATCCGAAAACACACACGGACACATATACGCACACAGATGCACAAAACGACAGAGACACGCGCATAAATAAAACAGACACACATATATTCATACCTGCAGGGCAAGAGAAAATACACACATACATATGCATGCAAACAGACATACAGGCGGTGAGGCGGGAGGGGAGAAAGACAGCCAGGGAGAAAAGACAGGAAACCACAGACACACACACCGACAGACACACTGACATTATACAGGATAAAAGCAAAATATAGAGAAAGAGAGATGAACACACGACTACGCAGACACACATACAAAGGAACGCATAAAGAATGAGAAAGAGACTGAGACACACACACATAGTAAGAAAGAAAAACACACGTAGACACAGATACAGAAAGATAGATTTACACACATACACATAGACACGACACACACACACACATATATGATGTCTGTGTTTAATATATATATATATATATATTAATTATTTATTTAAAAATATGATATAATTATATATATATAATATATAATTATATATATATATATAATTATTTATATATAATTATTTATATATTATATATATATATTTATATATTTATTATATATATATAATTATTTATTTAAAAATATGATTCCATATATATATATATATATATATATATATTAAGATATTACACCGAAAACATGGTAAAATGGTTACGCAATTGCAGTCGTGTTTCGATGCGTATCAAGGCATCTCATCAGGCGAATTTACAATTGACTGATGAGATGCATTGATACGCATCGAAGCAGGACAGCAATTGTGTAGCGATTTTGATATGTGTTCGGGGTAATATCCTAAAATAAATAATATTGCTCTACTTTGTAATGAGCCCTCTTTTAAACTAAATGTCACGAACGTTTGAATTGTACTCTATTCAGTCCCATCTTTCCTGGATATATATATTCAAGCAGGTTTGGTTAAGTAATTTTAACGTATTATCTCTATCTATTTTAGTTTTAATCCCTTCAAGACCCCGAATTAATTTCTTTGAGACGGCAGAACATTGACGAGAAAGCTTACATTTCATTTAAACGAGCATAGTTCAATCTCAGAACATTTACAGAAACACTTATCTCCACTTTCACAGTTTAGGTATATATTAGTCGGAAATACATCAGTGCTTCATCAAAATAATAATATGCAAAAACATAAAGTTCTGGAAACCCTTTGTATAAGAGAATAGCGGCCCAAAATAAAGTCCATGTTGGGTATAGAAACAAAATTCTCAAATGTTTTTAAAGGCAAAGTTTTATATAAAAATATTAAATTAAAATATTATAATTTAAAAAAAATATATTCTTTTTTAAAAATTACTAACGTTACTTTCTTTGAATTAGAAACGCTGTAAGCGTACAGTGAAAAAAATAATTTAAATTAACGGAGAGACTGTATACACATCGACAGATATTTTAACCCTCTGAAGATAGTCTCAGATGAGATTGAAACTACTTGGGAAAATAAAAATTATTTGAAAGAACATTTTAGAAATTTTCTTAATCAATTGTCTACATCCACCAAGAAATTAATCCGTGGACTCAAAAGGATTAAAAGTAAAATAAATAGACATAATACGTCTAAATTATTTAACCAAACATGTCTTGAATAATATATATATATATATATATATATATATATATATATATATATATATATACTATTTACATTGTTCGAAGATTTGTCCTCGTCTTTATTATTATATTCACGATATTTTGGGCGTTGTACGATACGGCCTTCTTCAGTTGACTGCGGAGAGAACAAAAATTAACTAAAGCTGAGATGTCCAAAGGCACGGCACGTGGAATTAGAACAACCTACCCTTGTGAACTAAATAAAGTGTTTGGTTCCAAATTCCATCAAATATCATCTGAAAGAAGGCCGGGGTGTACAACGGTCAAAAAATAATTTGAATATGAAAATAAAGATGAGGACAACAGTCCAAACAATGTAAATAGTATAAATAGTTACAATACCTCAATATATATATATATATATATATATATATATATATATATATATATATATATATATATATATATAATTTAAACTCAGAAGGATATGTTCTAACAATGAAGAAATAAGTAAATACAGTAAATACAAACATCACCTAATCTAGGAACAAATAAATAAAGCAATTTCCCCACCTTGAGAAGATACCCTAATGTATAGAATTAAAAATAAATCCAGACACATCCCTCTAGTAACCACTTTCAACACCATTCTTCCTTCACTATCTCGGATAATCACTGGGAAATAAAATTATAGGTAGTAACCACATTTCAGAGGATTAGTTAACCCGTTATAAGCCAAAAATAAAAACAGAAGTTTCCCAACAATGTAACAACAAAAGGAGCTTATGTTGTAACCACATTAGACATACCAATTTGTTCACTATCCGAGTCACTAAATCTACTTTCAAAATCTACCGCAACTCCAAGAAGTCATAACATAATTTACTAATTAGAATGCACACTATGCCAGAAACAATAAGTGGGAAAATCTGAATGGCCCTTTCACTACAGAATTAATAATTATCGCAATCGAATTAAGTGGATTCCCCACGAAAGATTATTACCTGTAGAACAACATTTTCGCCTAGAAAAACATGATTTTAAAAGCCATGCCAAATTCGCTATAATTGAAAAAATAGAAACAGACAGGAAAGAAAAATATGAGAAGAACATGAAGACAAATGGATTTTGCGCCTCAAAACACACCATCCAGACAGGCTTAACCACAAATTTAACAATATAGATAGAATTAATATATAACTCCATAAATCAAGCCCTGTTCACAATTCTCACCTATATACGACAGTGGTGATTAGATTTCACACTTATACAAACACTCACACAAATATATACACATCACACATACTCCCAAAGAACTAAAAGTTAACATACACTTAACACACACATCACATTCCCAGCAACCAATAAAACTGTCAAAATGATGAAGGAGGAAATTCTTCGTCAGGAATCTGACATAAAAACAACTTAAAAGAGGCCGTTTGACCAACACAAGGACTGGCCAAAATTAACGAAAAAAACAAAAAACAAATGAAAAATACAGATAAAATTCATGTTCTTCAGAAAATCATTCATTCCTGTAGTTCACTGCTACTAACAAGCAGGTTTTTTTTTCTCCTGATGATGGCCATGCTGGCCGAAACTAGTCGAGGAACTTAATTGAAATAATAAAAAAAAATATCAATATCCGACCAGTGTGTCTGAAAATTTTTATTTTTTAATATTTTGTACTGTTCAAAACACACACACACACACACACACACACACATATATATATATATAGATAGATAGATAGATAGATAGATAGATAGATAGATAAAAAGAGAGAGATAGAGAGATAAAAAGAATGAAAGAAAGAGAGAGAGTGAAAACCACAAACATAAAAAAACATACATATGTGTGTGTGTGTGTGTGTGTGTGTGTGTGTGTGCGCGCGTATATGGAGAACAGTTAGGCGTGGTACAAGGAAAAGCAAGTTTTTATCTGGCTAATTACGATAAAAAAAAAATGACTTTGACCTACTCACTAATTGCTCCATACTTGCTACCTTTAGAAAATCACACACACACACACATATATATATATATATATATATATATATATATATATATATATATATATATATATATATAGGGAGAAAGAGAGATTGAGAGAGAGAGATGGGGAAGAGAGGACAAGTGAGAGGAACGAGATAAGACAGACGCATAAATGGCGAGAGAGGTGGAAGAGGGTAGGGGAAGTGAGATAAAGGAGACAGAGAAAAAATGAGAAGAGAGAGAGAGAGGGTGAGATGTGAGAGGGGGGAAAAGACAGAGGGGAAGAGAAACAGTGAGAGATAGAGGGAAAAGAGTCGGAGAAGAGAGAGGGGTATAAAGAGAGAGAGATGGAAAGAAAGCGTACAAAAAGGGGAATGGAGACAGAGAGCGGAAAGAGAGTGTGAGATAGAGAAAATAGAGAGAGTGGGGAGAATGAAAATGAGAGGACTAGAAAGCGTGAGAACACCATTATATATATATATATATATATATATATATATATATATATTTTTAAGACATTTTATATTTTTATGGGATAAAGTTTCAATATCAGAGATTCAGCAAATAAATACGAATATAAAACTGAACTCTGAAGTCAAAAAAAAAAAAAACAGGGAAAATAAATTAACCGAAACAAATAAATAAATAAACAAGCCACCCCCGCCAAAATAACTGCCAGAATAGATTACCCACAATGCACCACTGACCCATATATATAAATAGCCGAGGAAACATCCAGCATTCGCGTCCAGCATGAAACAGCCTGTCGCCTCTGATTGTTGACTTCAATGTTCACTTTTATATTTGTACTTAATATATATATATATATATTTGTACTCAATATATATATATATATATATATATATATATATATATATATATATATGAAGAAAATATCTGGAAAAACAAAACAAAAATCCTTAAAATGCGATTATGTTGTTTTAATATGAATAAAATGTCGACGTCTGACGTTTAATAACCTTCTTCAGGACAATATTCATTAATATATATATATATGAATCCGGTTAGGGCGATATAATGTTTAGCTAGCTTGTCTCGCTCTATCATTTACGAGTGAATTCTGCCATCCCTTACTGCTCTCTTCTTTCTGCCTTGTGCCACGTCTAGGAAATCCCTATATATGGAGCCCATTTCAAAGCGGTGAATGGCATTTGTCCGAAAACCGTTTTCACTGAAAGCGTTATATCAAATCTTCGTCAAATGATTCATTTTACCGAGAAGCCTAAACGTCGGAAATTAAAGCTGGGTAATTGTGCTTTTTTATTTATTCAATCATGTGCCGTTTAAAAATTACAGGCATTAATTTGATTGGTGCTTATTTACGATAATGAGTGATTGATTACAAGGCAAATGGTTTGCTTAGGAGTTTTATTTAATGTTGAAATAAGTCGGCACTTTGTTTTTTAGGCAGCAAAAATACAGTATAATCTTTAAAAAAAAACGATTAAAATATATCATTAAAATAAATGAGTAAATAAGCAGATTAATAAAAATTAAATATAGAAGACATTTTTAAATTGTTTTATTTATTTATGCATGTTTTTTGGATAAGGTAAATATATTTTGTTTTTCGCCATTTTATACTCGTTTTTAAATATGTTTCAAATATAACCGTTAAGAGGTGATACCACGCTTCTCAAAACCTCCAATCTTCCGAGCATCGGCCTTGCTGCCAGATGTAGTTTATCGTCATACCCAGGACGATATTTAAGAGATAGTTCCACGATGCTCACAACCTCCAATCTCCTGATCAGCGGCCTTGTTTATCGTCATACCCAGGACAATTGAGACGTGGTTCCATGCTCCTCAAAACCTATCGATCACAGGTCTTGCTGTTGGATGTAATTTATCGCCATTGTTACCAGGTTCGCCCTGACACGGTGTGTTAGGATCCCAGCTATGGGCAAAATAGTGAACACACAAACTGGGGTCAAAACACTGAGTTTATAAAGATACATTTTTATAGTTAAAATACCAGCAATCTATTTTCATCGTAAAAAAAAAAAACTTCCCAGGAATATATTTTTGTAAAAATATTTTTAGAATAACCAGCAATACATTTTTGTAAAGAAAATTACTAATGCTCCCAAGAACATTAAATGTCAGTATTAAATGACCCATAAAGAGTTGATATGCCGCTAAACGAATCAAACCAAAGTAAATTATGGAGGAAAAGGGTATTCATTATCGTTAATAAACAACAAAATTGTTAAATGATACATCATCATCATCTTGCGGCCTCAGCTGAGATTGAACTCACCAATACTTTGATTGGTGTAGTTCATAATCTTGTCAAATAGCTGAATTCTTGATACTTCGCTAGGGCTATCAAGGTTGTTTTTATCGTGACACCATCACTAAATGGATTGTCAACCAAGGCTCAGAGAGACTCCATTCACCCTCATCTAAGAGCAGGTTTTTGAATCAGAGTTTTCCTTCTCCTAGACCAGTTGCCATCCAAGAACCCAGTCTGTCCTGCTATTTTACCCATAGCTGGAGGGAGAAGAAAGAGGATTCACACCTTAATAAGGGTATTAGCACGTAAGTGAATGTAATGGATCCGACTGGAATTCGAACTCGGCTCTCCGATTCCTCAATCCAAGCCGCTATCCATTACTCCACCGTGCCTTCTCAATGATACATAAGTGGGTTGACTGTGTCGGGCTAGAATCCATCTTGAACATACAGAAACCTACCATTCATCCGTGACTCGAAAGCTGTAGCCATATCGGGCCTGGCTCTCTTGTCTATATACCTCGAGATTCTTGACAAAATTCTAACATGGGTCTCTAATGTAATCGACTGATTACAAAATGCTTCGTGAGAAAGAAACATGAGATTAGATAGAGAGAAACATATGGAATATATATATATATATATATATATATATATATATATATATAGAGAGAGAGAGAGAGAGAGAGAGATCCACAGATGGCGCACGGCAAAGATGAAGGTGAATTTGAGCGTACTTATTTTTAGATAGACACACAGTGACTGAGAGAACTCGATTCGATTTACCGAAGAGTCTTGCATTATTAGCAGTAATAGTCACTGTTTACAAACCCACACTGCGAGAGAGCTCAAACGAAATATAGATAATATTGAAACTTAAACCGTCTTCGACTCCCCTCTTTAAAACTTCTTTCTGTTAAATTTTAAATCCACACCTTCACCTTTAGACCTTCCTGTTCTTCCTTTGTCTGTTACCCTTCCTTATAGCATTCATTTACTCTAACATTCGTCCCACACTCTCATACATACATTCTCACTAATTTTTTTTTTTTTTTATTCCCGGAGTTATTTTTTCTGACTTCTTTTTGAATCTGTCGATCTGATGAATTGGATCATATTTACGATTTCAATGTAATAAATTATAACCATGGAATATTAGTGTTTAAGCCTTTATATATATATATATATATATATATATATATATATATATATATATATATATATATATATAATAAAACAAACGAATTATAGATAGATATGAATATTTTTTGAAATATTATAATATAAATAGATATGGATATATAGTGAGAGAGAGAGAAAGGAACAGTGAGATAGTTATATATATATATATATATATATATATATATATATATATATATATATATATATATATATATAAGGCTCAAACACTAATATTCCAGGGTTATAATTTCTTACATTGGAATCGTAACCATACAATATTACTGTTTCAGCCTTTTCATATTATATCCTTGCTCTGTCCTGGACATTGAGCTCTACCTGGATTCTATCCTCTTGAAAATTTATATATATATATATATATATATATATATATATATATATATTGACTACTAATATTATCAATATATATATATATATATCAATATATATATACATCAATATATATATATCAATATATATAAATATATATATATATATATATATATATATAGAGAGAGAGAGAGAGGAGAGAAAGTCAACACCGAGTAGCAACAGTTTGTTTCATGGCGGAAAGATTGCGTTCAAACATTAAACAGACTGTCGCCAGTCGTTTTGACCTCAGTGACCAATTTTATTGTTATACAATCTCTGTCCTTGATGTTGAGATCTTTAACCCATAAGTATAGCTGACCTTAAAATTATATATATATATATATATATATATATATATATATATATATATATATTTATATATGAATTTGATTATATCAGTGAAAAGTTCATGCGTCGTGCCAGAGATTTTTATCCATCTTGAACATTTTAGGTCCGTGTACTGATTACTGTTGACATATAAGATCCACAATGCAACAGTTCAAATGAAGAAGCTGTGTGAGGCACTTCCTCCTTCTAAATGGAATACGAAGGAAATGACGATGAGTCGACCCAGTGTAGGCAGTCAGTTAGGGTCTAGATGTCAAACTCTAGACTTGGGGAACTAAGGAATATAGTTCACTTAACATCTACTTTGAATATAGCGATAGAGTAGCCAGAGGCTATCATCTTTTCGCCTGCGGGGAAAGAGAGTGCAGGGTGGAAAACAACGCATCGCTCATAGGGCTGCACAAACCTTTTTTTTACCTTTTTCAAGACTGTAAAGCGATGATTGGGTATCTTCAGTCCGGATGTGGCAGCAATGCGCCATTTTGGGCCGGGTATGGTTCTTCTAAATATAGAACATAGCAGGAGCAGTTTGGTCCTTTCTAAAGCGGTATCCACAGCGAGTTTCTGGGAATCAAACGTTAATTCAAAAAATTTTCTTACATGCTTATGCATCGTTTCGGATCACTTCCATTTGTTTCTCCTTAGGGCACACTTCTAGCGGAGCGGCTATGTTCACACTGTAACAGCAGC